GAGCTTGCGACGGGGCTTGGGGCAGAGCTTGCGACGGGGCTTGGGGCGAGGCTTGGGGCGAGGCTTGGGGAGGTTCTGGGTTGGGTGTGGGGGCGGGGCTTGAAGCAAGTTTGGGAGGCGATGAGCGAGCACTCTGTTTAGACGAGGACTCCTGGCTGTCGTCGGTACGATACCTTTGGGGTTTGAGGCGCATCCTGGGTGGAAGCGCCACGTGGGAGCTCGAGCTGACGGCGGCGCCACCGAGATGCTGTAGGCGGCGAGTGAAGTGCACCTTCTGGTTGTGGTTCTGCAGGGCAGCTGCTCTGGTTACGGCCTTGGTACGGTCCTGGTCCTGGTTCTGGTCTTTGGGTCGGCGAGGTGTCTGCGGCTGTGAACTCCTCGCGAGTTTCTTGAGAACCTGCCGAGCTTCAGAGGAGTCGATGGCCGAACCTTTGGCCAGAATCTTCTTGGGGTTCAGCTTCAGACACATGCGGCTGGATGATGGTGAGGATGAAGATGAAGCCACGCCCCTCAGGACACGGCGAGAGGAAGAGGAAGATGACACACGTATCCCTGATGATGAGCGTCTGTCTGCAGGACGTCCTCCCTTGTCGTCACTTCTCAGCCGTTTGACCTCAGAGGAGATCGGTCCCTCGGCCGGTCGCCGTCGCCGTGACGCCTCCTCGCTCCTCAGATCCGCCGGGCCCCGCCGGGACTCCCTGTGCCCCCCCGACGCCACCACACCTTTGCACTTGTCACAGAGCACCTGGCGGGGGCGGAGCTTGATGGCGTTCATGATGGAGGTTGGCTCCTCACAGCGGTAGCGCCGCTTTGGCCGTTTGATCTTGCGTGGCAGCGGCTGAGGTAAGGCCTGGTTGTAGGTGTCCCTGATGAACAGCGGAGGCGGGTACGCCGCCCCATCCTGGAACAGGGGCGGCGGTTTCGAGGTCCAGGGCAGAGGCTGGGGAGGGGGTGGTGTCACAGAGACCTCTTCCTGTTTGGTGGACGGGTCGACGACGGTAGCCGGCGGTGACTGCACAGATATCGGAGGTCGACTCTGGTTGTCCCGTCTGGGGAACACCGTGATGGGGATACCGTATGGTCCGAACCTGAAACCACGAAGGATGAGAACCTTAGAAACTCAATGACACCGAGATCTTACAACTGTGGAGCCGTCAAAATACAACAAACAAACATCGAAATACAACATCAAAACACAAGAAACAAACATTGAAATAAAACAAACGTCGTCAGTTGAGAGGTAATTCAAATATTCGTGGCTAGAAAGAGGAGTTTCTACTGAGAGTTCATGTGAGCCGCCCTTTGTTTTCCCTCCAGGTCACCGCTAAGGTCACATGACTGAAAACTATGACTGCTGGGAGATATCATCAGGAAACACAAAGAGGAAGAAAGACGAACTTCAAAAAGACCAACAAGATGGTCTGAATCCACAAAAAGGTTCTAGTGAGCGACGACTGTAAAGTTTGTCCATCTCTCTGAGGTCACGTTTCTATTTTAAAACATCTTTTCTACGTTACACTGAGCGTTCACACTCGGCCGTAGTTTTAGAGCCCAGAGGACGGATATGTTTAAAAACGCTCCCGAGAGTTAGGGTTAGTTTGAGGTTACCCTACCACGTGACCCTACCACCTTTCCAAAAGAAAACAAACAAACTTGTTAGGGTTAGTCCAACATGGACAACTGATTACAGGTGTTGACCTTGTTGTCTTTACTAGCAGCTGTTTATACGAAGCAGCTGTTATCAGTGGCAGTATCAACCCAACGGAGCGGACATTTCAAGTAACGCTATGAGGACGACTTTTCTTATCAATGCTTATTTTGTACAACTATTGTGAAGTTCACAAGGAAAAGACCTGGTTTATCAGTAACATGTCCTCAGTTTCAGCTCTAGCATAATACTATATTAATAATATATTATTATATTCATAGCATATTAATATTAATAATATTAAGAACAGCACGTGAGGATCTCAGACAGCATCTGAAATTAATTGTATCTATATACATCCTGCTAAATAAGTTTTATGAATATTTTTGGGTTCTTAATTCTATTCTAATTATTTGTATTAACATTTAATCAGTCGATGATTTTTGTTAACATGTTAATAAAGTTTTATATATATATATATATATATATATATATATATATATATATATATTTTAATAAAGTTTTACCTTTTTGAAACATCCATCAGCACTCCGGAGAAAACCTTCTCCCCCAACCGGAAGGACACCACCAGCGCGTCATCGATGACGTGATCCAGGGAGACCCGGACTTCAGACCCGGGAGTGAGGTCCTGGGCACCGAGACCGGGACCAGGACCAGGTCTAGAGAAGTCCTCCTCAATAGGTTTCTCCTGCTTCACGGTTTCCGTCATCAGGCCCGCTGAGTTTGTACCAGGGTCTGTCTCTGGGTCCAACATGGCGTCTTCCGGTTGGACCAGAGCCCTGTAATCTCGGTCCGTAGTCACATTGGTGCTCGGTTCCAATGGTTCCGCCAGAGACAAACCGGCCTCTGTGACGGGCGGGGGATCCGGGAATGAGTGCAGAAAGACGGCAGAAGGCTGCAGGATGCTCCGGTAAACCTCTGGATCTCCTGGTACTCCGGTACTGAACCGGTCCACCGTGGGGCTACCGGTGTGTTCATCGTTACCTCCGGTCTCAGAGGACTCCATCTCCGGCCTGACATGGCGGTGCTCCTCCACACCATCATCCTCCACCCGGACCAGCTGCACGACCGGACCGGTCTCCCGTAACCCGTCGGTCTCCAGCGGGTCTCCTGTTAGTCCCGGTCCAACCGGACCCGGTTCTACCGAGCCCTCTTCGTCCGTCGCCGCGGTTATTGTTGTTATCAGAACCGCAGCAGCTGCTGGCTCTGCAGCCACGGCCGCCATTTTGTTCCGCTGTGCCTCGCCCCGCCCCCGACAACGATGCCGCCTGCGCAGGCGCACAGCCCGTTGGCTGGAAGTTCTGTCACTCAAATGAAACGAGGCAGAGCGTTGTCTCTGATTGGACGATGAGTCAGAGTACGTGATGCGTCAATGGTGACATTAGGTGGCATCATTCTTTAGCAGAAACAAAAACATGGAGCACTAAAGACCATCAATGTGATCGATCACCAGCTGATCATATCATATTATACATATATATATATATATATAATATATATATTTATATACTATATAATATATGTACGTAATATATATTTATATATTATATACATATAAAGTTTACCTTTGCTACTTGTGTAATTTTACTTGTGCTGGTGAATATTAAGTCATATGAGGAACATTGATTATTATCACGTGTGATTAAGAGATTTAACCTGTTTACTTATACACATAGTACTTTACAGGTATTAGTACTTTTACTGAAGTATAAGATATTTTTCTTTGTTAATTATTGTTAATTATTATTAAAATTAATATTATTAAACTCTGTCAACAAAGAAAGGAGGATGGACTTTGTCTTTAAGTGAACAGCATTCAGTAAGTGACAAACTGCGTTTGTTTGTTTACATCTGCAGTAACGTTACTATTTGAATGGCTCGTGCTCTTGTGTGGTGGAATGTGTGGATCTGCTGCAGGTCTGCTGGATTGATGCGTCATGCTTTGTTGTCATATTAATATATGTGACTGGTTCTTAAGACTTTGTTGTCATTGTTGATTTGACTATGCATTGTCCGTTAATGACGCAGCATCCCGTCATGCACGGATTCATGTATCTGCACCGTAGCTGTTCAACTGTAGTAGGACAGCACAGAAGGCCCGCCACTGAATAATACCAATAACTCATAAAGACACACAGTAATCATCACTGTAGAGGTGTTTCTCTCTGTAGTCTGTTACCTCTTTAACAAACTGTGTTCTGTTTATAAGCACAGGATCCATTTCTAGGGCAGAATGCGTTTGTCTTATTTATGAATTATTTGCATCTGTACGTTTTGAAATTGTGACGTCATTATTAAATAACCCAGAATATGATTATTGTTTCTCTTAAATGATATAACTCATCAAACACTCAGGAATGATGTAAAAAAGTGTGTCGTCTCAGCTCCCTCTCTCTATATATACATATATACATATATATATACATACATACACATATGTATATATACACATATATATATACACACATATATATATACACATGTATATATATATATATATATATACACAT